CTCACATTTGTATACCAAATGTCAACGATCTAAGGAGAGTTATTCTAAAGAAAACTCATAATTCTAAGACTATTGTTCATCCTAATTCCATTAAGATGTACTAGAATTTAAAGCAACTATAATACTAGGAAGGTATGAAATGGGACGTAGCAAACTTTGTATCTCAATATTTGACCTGTCAGCAAGCTAAAGCCAAGCATCAAAGACTAGCTAAATTACTTTAATAGATTGAGATATTGAAGTGGAAGTAAAAGAAGATCACCATGAATTTTGTTACAAGATTACCACCAACCCTCAAAAGGTTCGACTTTATCTAAGTGATCATGGATAAATTGACCAAGTTATTATATTTCCCTTCAGTGAAACGACATATAATGTATCCCAATATACTCAACTATACATAGATAGAATAATGAGACTCCACGGAATAATTGTATCGATCATTTCCAATTGAGAATCTTAATTCACATCTAGATTTTGGAGAACTCTTCACAAGGCTTTGGGCACTCGATTGGACCTCAGTGTAGCTTTCCACACCTAGCCCAATAGACCATCTGAAAGAACAATTCAGATTTTAAAGACATGTTGCAAACTTGTGTTATAGATTTTGGTTGAAACTATAGTTAGTACTTGTCACTTATAGAATTTGCTTATAATAACAATTACCAAGCAAGTATTTAGATAGCACCTTTTAAGTCATTATATAGGAGGCGTTGACAATCTCTGACATGATGATTCCATACCGAGGAAGTTAAACTTTTGGGACCAGACTTGGTATAGAACTTAGTGGATAAGGTACAGTTTATCAAACAGGGATTACTAGCCCTCAAAGGAAGTAGAAAACCTATGTTGATCAACAACAATGGAAGCTAGAATTTGCAATTAGAGAGTATGTGTTTTTACGAGTCTCGCCTATGAAGGGTGTTACGAGATTTGGAAGAAAGGAAAAGCTTAGCTACAAAACATTAGTTGTTCGAAATCCTAGATCATGTTGGTGGGTATCAATTAGCTCTTCTACATGAGTTTTATGCAGTGCATCTTGTATTCCATGTATTCATATTACGGAAGTACCTGCACCATAAGAGATATGGCTAAATAAAGACTTGTGCTATGAAAAAGAACCTATTGCCATCATTGACTGATAGATCAAGAAGCTAATGTCTAAAAAGGTAACGTTTATGAAGGTGTTATGGAAACATCACTCGAGAAAAAAAGTGACATGGAAATCGGAGAAAATAATGTGTACAAAGTACCCTTATTTGTTCAAGATATAAGATTATCTATTACTCTTATATTTAAATTCAAAGCCAAATTCTTCTAAGGGGAAGATATTATAGTACCTCAATTTTAGGGGTTTATTAAGAAAATTAGAAATTTAGAGGGTTTAATTGAAAGAAATAGAAAGTTATGAGGCCTAATTTAAAGGTTAGAGGGCTCATTTGAACTAATTTAAACTTTTTAGGACAAAACAAAAAAATCAAAAAATGTCAAGGACTAAATTGCATGTAATCAATACTCGAAGGACTAAATTAGAAATTAATCAAAAACTCTAGATCACCTTTGTCTACCTCCACAACTTGCAGCCATGGCTATTGATTGCGAGAAATCTGAGGTAAATTGATGTGATTAGTATTATATACGTCGTATAAGGCTAAGGATGGGAAAACCCCAAAAATGTTTTACCTTTCAACCACTTTCTCTCCTAAATTTCTTGTTTATTATGTTGCTATCAGGACCGCTGATTTTCTATTCGTCGTTGCAAGTGGTCAATTGAAGCTTTTGGGCTTGGAAGCTTTTGAGCAGCAATACTTCTACAAGTTGTTGTAGAGCGATTGACCGCCATTAACCAAGTATGAAACTTCTATTTTTGGGAGGGGGAGTTGGGTCTAGAAGATGAGACCCGAGTGTCTTCTCAGATTACCCAGGTTCAAGGATCCAGTTTACAACTACATCTCTGACTTTTTAAAAAAGAAAACCAAGTTCTAGCCCTATGTTGGAACAGATCTTGGGCTGGACCTAGTTTTAAAGCGAACTGGGCCTAAAGATGGGCTAGGGCCTAAATTGTGTTGGGTTTGAGTTGGGATTGGATGAGATCTAGACTACGTTTGGGTTGTGGTATTGGATACGGATTCAAATCCGAAACAAGGAGCTGGTTCAAAGGGTCTAACAACTAATTTAACACTAGTTCAAGAAATAATCTACCGATTTAGTGCTTAGGTTGACCGATTTAATGTCTTAGTTTACAATTTAGTACTTTGCTTGATTGATTCTTGACCTAGTGATGATAGTTCAGTGCTAAATCAACCGATTCAGTACTTGTTGGACCAGTTTAGTATATGTATATGCAAGCATTCAATGTTAAGGCTGGTTCACGACTTAAAAAGGGCCAGTGTCTACTTTCTTGGCCAGTTTAGTAATTTCATGGCTAGTTCAATGTTTATTAGCCCTGATTCAGTGTCTTCTTAGTTGGTTTAGGGTTTTTTCATACTGGTTCATAGATTAATAAGCCTAGTTCAGGGCATTAAATGTCTGATTCAACTCTTTACTTACTAGTTCATTAAGTAATTAGCCTGGTTCAAGGCATTAAAAGGCCGGTGCAGTCCTTTAAGAGCCAGTTCAATCCCTTAATAGTTGGTTCATGGCCAATTTAACACTTTAGCACTGGCTTAAAGGATAAATAAACCAGTTCTTTACTCTATGAGGCTGGTTCAATGTTTTGATAAACCAATTCATGATTTATTTGATTGGTTTAGGACTCTAATGACTACGATAAGGGTTTGGGCACAAGAACTAAGATTTGTACTTGAGTTTTTAATTAGAAAATTTTATAGATTAGATCCACAAATAAATAGGAATCCTAAAATAGATATTTTTATTATTTTTATGATGTTAAATTTCTAAGAAGATTCACTTTGAGCCCCTATCACTGAAGACCAAACAGTTTGAAGTACATCAATTCTATGTGTAATAACGTACATTTATGAATATTTATAGTTTTTGTATCTATTATAAATGCTAATTTTTCGTAAATTATTACTTGACACACTTGGCTCTTGAAAACTAAATTAAATTTTGTTATCAATAAATAACAAGGGACATATATGTAAATAATTGAATTTATTTTTTAAAAAAAGTCAAATTGTACTTTCCCAACACTGTTTATATCTATAACTGAAAATTTCTATTTGCTATTAAGACTGTTTCTGTTTATTACTGAAAAACTATTTTAAGAGAGTTTTAAATTTTTAAACACTATACGTAATGGTAATATGCGTTACATTTGGTGCACCGTGAACTATATCCCTCAACTAACGGGTGCTAGACTATCATGTTAAGTTAACATAGTTGTATTGTCTATCTGTATACCAACAAATTAAGGAATTGTTAGGACTTCTAATTTTTGTATTATTATGTTCCATATCACAAATTCTCTCATGCCTCGACAATTATAAACTTATTGTTTTGTTTTAAAGTTTTCTATTATAAATTGTATACTTGTCATCGTCAAAACATGTTATTATTTACTAGATCTATCAACTTATCCCTTATCATTTTTCGGATTTAAAGTTTGACATCCCTTCGGATCTTGTTGCTTGAGGGGAGTCTACTATTTTTACTATTTGCCTATCAATCATATATGTTAGTTTTGTTTTGTTTTGTTTTTGGTTCTATTAGATTTTGAATTTTCATTAGAGTTTTCTACTGATATATTAATGAGGATGTTAAGATTTGAATTATATTCTATTTTAGATCTTTATTTTATATAAAACACTGGTTTACTTATTTCTAATTTATATGAAAGATACAAGATGACTCATAGGCTTGTTGAGTTAGAATTCATTTTAATCTTAACTTTGGTCACAAATCTAAATTCTGAGTTGTGACAAGGGACACCGAACAAGACCTGACAACTTGGCAACATAAAGCAAAAGCGAACTAAACTGGCAAGAGGGGAAGAAAGAAAGAGAGAGTAGAGAGAACTAGACTTGTGTATTGTAGAAAATGATACAATAGTCAAATCTCTTATATATAGTGTCCAAGAATATTTTGGATATCCAAATTACTTTAAGTGGAACCACTTCAAAACCCTCTACATCAGTTTTCCGGAATTTTTCCTAAAATTTTTGAGAACCTCCCCCACCCCCATTAAGCTCCGCCATTATATTGGAGAAATATTAATTCAAAATTATATATAATTTAAATTATTAAACAAAATTACTCAAACCCATATTCTTTAGCAGTAATTCTCAAAAGTATTAGATGCTAACAGGTTTCAAATTTTCTTATACGAGCATACGCTGACATGATTCTTGCTTCTTACCTCTGGGAATGTTTTTTCCTCCCTAATAAAACTTACTTTCAAAGGCCCTTGGCTCTTAAAAGCTTATTGTTAGAGGCTCACTGGTCTGGCAAGATTGAAGTGCGTAGGAGAATCACTTAGCATCAACTTTAGTAAATAGTTGGTAATTTATGCCTTTTGCAAATGTGACATACGGTGAAATGTCAATTTTTCACGATAAAACTCAATTTAAATATAATAAATAATTTAATTTTTAGTTTTTTTTATAAAAAAATTAATTCTTTTAAACTAATCTTATTTCACAGACTCGAACTCCTTGGGTTTTCGTGATCAAGTGTCTAGTTATCCTTATCTACACCCATTAAGTCTAAAAAATCGAAACTAATAGAAATAAATCCCTTCAAAGATTACAGTCCACAGAGTAATTAAAACAAGAATGAAACAAAATTCAAATTTTTAAGCACACAAGAAGGCATTACGTAAAATATTATACAGCTACGAGACGATAAATGCCCAGATCAGCAGACCCATACCTTGTACAACCTGAGAATTGTGCAAATAATTATGAAGAAGGCAATATCAACAATTCTCCTAAAATCCACATCCCTGCATCATGTCCCACCTTGGAATAACCAACTTCCTTTCTAACATACATATGCGTTAATGCAAAAATTAAGCCACCACTTGGACATCAAAAGTTCTAAACTTCAAGTCGTTGAGATTGGTTAGTATCCTCTGATATGTCCTTCAATTTGAGAATCCCACCTCGACGCCATTCCATTTCCCTCAACTTGAGAAGCAGAAAGAGCACAATGCCACACCCAAAGCCCAAAGCAGCGCTAGAACCAGTCAAGGACACAGCAGCACACACCAGCATTACAAAGGACTCCTCCTTCGTATTCATATCTTTAGACGCCATGGCTAGCTCTATTCCGGCGAACAACAGCAGCACTCCCAGAATCCCAATTGGAAACTGACCCAGAATCCTGACAAAGGAGTTCCCGAACACCAGCGCAAGCACCAGCTTCCCCAATCCGAGAAACACCACCGACGCCCCGCTCCGGCCACCGAACCGGTACTGGCCGCCAGCCCGCCGGCACCGTGGCACACCGGCATCGCTCCGAACCAGCATCCCACCAAGTTCATCGCTCCCACGCTCACTGACACCGCCGTCGCCGAAACTTCTCTATCCGGAAACAGATCGGCAGATAGTTTACACACAGCGATCACGGAGTTGAGGATGGACAGTGGGATCTGGGGAATCGCGGCTCTGACAAACCCAGTTTTCCAATCCGCCCATGTGATCTTGATTAAACTGATTTTGGAGGGACCCAGTTGGAGATCTTTGAAAATTGAAGGGTCTCGGAGAAAACATAGTGCTAGGCCGAATAAGAACACGATGAGAGCCGCCGGAATCGACGATAGAACACCTAATCGACGGCGTACACGGTGAGATTGGGGCTGATTTGATGAACGGTTGTCGTCGTGGGAGTCGCCGGAGCCGGTGCAGAGGATGAGAAATAAGAGAGAAGAAAGGGCCACGACGAGGCCATCAAGACCGAGCCATGGCCGGGCAGGACCAGATTTTCCGGCGGCGAAGTCTTGGTTGTAGCGGATGTATTTAATGGCGGAGAAAGCGAAGGAGAGGCCCTGAGAGAGCTGGACGCCGCGCACAACGGGGAGTGGGAGGAAGCGATAGAGGAAGGACATGAGGCCGGAGGCGCCGAGGAGGAGGAGGACGGCAGCGGTGGAGACGCCAGCGGCAGCGATCTGGGGGATGGACAGGTGAGGCATTTCGGAAACAGCCACGGCGGCGATGGACTTCATGGGCTGGACAGGCATGGGGACGCCGAAGAGGAAGCCGGTGGCGAGGTTGTAGAGGGCGGTGAATATGAGTGTAGTGGAGAGGTCAAGGTGGGAGACCAGGGTGAGGGCCAGGACGATGGGTATGTAGGTGCCAAGGTCGCCGACGGCGCCGCCCAGCTCTGCCCACACGGTGGTCTTCAGACGGAGAGAGGTAGCACAGGGAAGATCGGAGAGGCGGCGCCCCCACCACTGCCGCCGGAGGAGAGGGGTGGTCTGGCTTTGTGGTTCCTCTTCCATGGCTGCGTTTTTTCGAGCTTGACGGAGTGAAGAGAACAAGTGTAGCAAAAGGCCTTGTTCCTTCAACAAGAATAGCCAATAATGAATAGGAAACGACAACGTATATATATATATATATATATATATATATATAATTATCTCTTCATAAAAATTATTTTTCAGTTTATAAAAAGTGTTATAAACCAGGAATAAGTGAATTGTTTTGGTGATGCTAAGATACAAATTATATTTTTTAAAATCTTTCACATAAGAGACAAAGAATTTGGTTTATTTTTTGTGAATATAACAATTATTTTTGGTGAAATTTTTATTATTCTTATTTATATAATATTAGTTGAAAAATAACAAATAATTTAGACATTTTAACAGATTAAGTAATTATTACAATAATTTATCAAATTTATTTATCAATTTCTATTATTTTTAACAAAATTTGTAAATATTCTAGACTTCTACACTTTAAATATTTTTTTTAATTATTAATATTTTTTAGCACTTGTTTAGAAATGCTAAAATCTAAAACAGCACCACTAATTAATTGCCGATTTTCCTGTTTGAAAATCAACAAACTCTAAACTTAAAAAAAGAATAATTGCTTCATATTAGGATTATAAATTTTATTTTTATTTTTAACCAAATAATATATTTATAAGTTGCATTAACTAATTCTGTGTAAACAAGATAATTAGGTTGCATTTTGCTATCATTGTCGTAGCAGATAACAAACGGTCCCCAAGAGAGACGTGAAACATGGTCATGACTCGTGCATTTCGCTGAACGTTAGGTCCCAGACTTGACCTTCTAATAAGACGGGTGGACAAATGAAAGAAGCAAACGTAAGGTCACAGTGATGCAGCCTGATCTCCTCATTCGTCGAGGAGCCAGCCAATGTAATAACAACCCGGCTCTTCGGGAATCCGCCGGCCAAACGCAGCTTCTGCTTCCTTTTTTTTATTCTCCTCCTCTTGGGTGAATTTCACTTTTCCCCCTTGAGAATTGTAAAAATTTCAAATCACCTCCTTATCTCGGAAATCGTCGGTATGTATCCCCCCCACCCCTCCGGGGCGGGGGCTGCCTACCACAAACGGACCTCTTTTTGCCATTTTGCGTTTTTGGTCGTGCCGTTTCGACATTTCCTTTAATGTGAATGAGACCGACTATTTCCAAAACAAGGGCGGGGAGATCGAATGTTTTACTAAATCTTGAGGAGGCAGTGAAATATAGTAGTATTTCTTCTTACATACGGAATTGTAGCAGGCATTATTGACTTTCCATATTTTTTGAGGGAAAAAAGAATATAGACCTCATTTTTTAAAATATAGAAGCTTGGCCTTCTAATTTCTAACATTAGATTATAAACTGTGAAATACCGTTTTAAATAAGGTAGAGGTCTCACCATGTGCCTCACGTGTTGTATTTTCTGGTTCAAGTAGATGAATGTATTTGAATAGAGTTAAACAGATTGTGTAATGAACAAATTGAACTCAAACTCATCTAATTATTAGCTAAATCTTATATGAAAAATTACCAAGTTTAGAGAGTTTGGGAATTTTAATGACTTGAGGGACTAGATTGCAAAATGTGTTCACTTGCAGTTTGTATGAAATCAATTGCCCATTTAATGTAACCAAAAAAAAATGCCTATTTAAGATAATTTCTATTCTCAAAATGTTAGTGTATTTGGTACTAAAAATTTTGAGAAGAGTGTGTATTTTACTAATATCTTAAGAGGTATACACAGTGATTGATGATAATTATAAGGATATATTTTAAATAGATTATTACAAGGAAATAATTTATATAAATTTCTTAATAATAAAAGCATATGTTTAACTTTTGATGTTTGACACAATTAAAAAATTTGATTCCTTATTTATTAAAATTTTTCTTTTCATATCAATTTTGTAACCTGTAACTTTTCTTTCTATATCAGTCCACAATCAACATTTATTACAAAGATTTGAAATGCGATTTGGAATATGTTCCTTATTAGTTACAACCTTCTTTTAGTGTAATTTCAACTATATTTCTATGTACTTACAACTTTATTTTGTGTAATTGCAACCATAGTTTGCCAAAAAAGTTTGAGGGAAGTGTATATTTTTACTGATATCTCAATACACGTGCACATGTAGTGTTTAGTGCTAATCATAAAGAAATAATTTAAATGACTTAATTATAAGCAAAAAATTTAAATAAATTCCTTTATAATAAGAGTATATGTTTGACTTTTAACATTTGCGACAATTTAAAACATTTATTTTCTTATATGTTGAATTCTTTCTTTTCAAATCAATTTCATAATCTATAGATTTTCTTTCCATATCAATCTCACAATTAGCATTATTACAAGGATTTGAAATTTGTCCCTTATTAGTTACAACTTACAACCATATTTCCATATAATTACAACTTTGTTCCATATAGTCATAATCATATTTCTATGTAGTTATTAATAATTTTGGAAAAAATTTGTATTTAAAGCACCAAATTGACCTCACTCTAAGGGGACTTTATCAAACTATCTAGCATATAATTGTAATCCCCAAAAGACCAAAGAATTGCAAAGACAAGTAAAAGAATTACTAGCGAACGGGTACGTGTGTGAATCCTAAGTCTATATTCAATACCAATTTTATTGGTATCTAAGAAGGATAGCACCATGAGAATATGAATGGATATTCGAGTCATCAATAAGATAATTGTGAAATATTATTATTTTATTCCCCCACAATGACATGTTAGATGAATTACATGGCTCCAATGGGCTTTCAAAAATTGACGTGGAAAGTGGATATCATCAAATCCAAATAAAAGAAGAAGATTAGTGGAAAATAGCACTCAAGCCCAAACATGGTATGGGCATGAATGGATGGTGATGATATTTAAGTTATGCACCGAGCATTTTAATGAGAATATTGAACTATGTATTGTATGTGTTCATTGATCAATTTGTTATTATTTACTTTAATGGCATTATGGTCTATGGTAGGAACTTCGATGACTCTCTAGATCATGTTAAAAAGATGTTTGTAACTCTTAAGGCAAAAAAGGCTATTTGATGATCTCCTAAGTGCCGATTCTATTAGGATTGAGTTGTCGTTCTAGCTTGTAACATGTTTCAACATGACATTGAAGTTGATGAGAAAAAAATTAAAACAGTTATAAGAAGTGGTCAATCCCTACTATCACTTCTAAAGTAAAGAGTTTCCATGGGTTGGAATTCTTCTCCTCGAGATATGTGAAGAGTTTCAATACTCTTCTTACCCCTATAATAGAGTGTATGAAAAAGGGAATTGAATTCAAGTAGAATGTAGATGCACAATGAAGTTTCAACCTAATTAAGGAGCAACTATGTTACGTCCCTATAGTAGCTTTTCCTGATTTCTCTAAATCTTTTATAATTGAGTGTGATGCATGAAGGGAGCTATTCTTATCTAGGAAAAGTGTCTCATAGCTTACTCTAGCAAAAAACTAAGTGGTTCAACATCTAACTACTTAACCTAATCCTAGAAGTACTTGAAAGGACAAAGCAAACTAATTTGGAGATATTCTAAATGATAGAGTTTTAAAGACTTTTCCATACGTTATCGAGTATAAGAATGGAAATGTTAACATTGTGCCTGATGCATTATCCATAAGGTACTATTTGATTTTTCTAATGTATTCCAAATTGTTAAGATTTGAGTTGATTAAGAATCAATATGTGAGGGAACCTTACTTTACTGCAATTTATTTGTCTCCTAAGGATAGAATTATTAACGACTTTTATCTACTTGATTGTACTTATTTAAAGGACAAGTCATGCATCCAAATGGTTCGATTAGAGAGCTATTAGTAGGAGAAGCTCCTAGGGGAAGATTAGCTAGTCAATTTGGGAAAATAAAACTTAAAAACGGTCAAATAGCACTTCTAAATTGGCCAAATATGAATCGAGATGTACATAAAGTTATTAAGCAGTGTGCCATGTGCAAAAAGGTAAAGGCAAGGAAGCTCCCCACAACTTATATATGCCATTGCTAGTTCTAG